CGCTCTAACTGCGAGACTAACTGAACCAGAGAGGAGGCGACGCCAAAGAGAAGCTGCAGAACGTCAACATACACTGAGACCCAAACTCTTTTCGTCTTTCCCCTCATCCTCAACTCTCCAACTAAACGAGTGCTCACATGATGTTACATTTAGCTTCCAACAAGTGCAATAGAAGAAAGCATCAAACTACTAACCAGAGGGACGCAGGCATGTGGATATAAGTGCTGGTGCATTAGTTGAAGTTATAGAATCATGCAGTCTTTAGCAGAGATTGGAGCTTTTATCACATCACAAAAAAACATTTTGAACTGTTCAACTTGTTGCACGCAAACATTTTTAACACCTTATAAATACTTCTTACACAAAGACACGCACGATGCTGGACAAACACTGACATTGATATATTATTAATATTGTTTTGAGATAAAAGATTTCACCCACATTTTCTTTTAACTAAATTCTACTTTTTAAATTGTATTTTTCTAACTGTTATTTTAGGGCATTTCTTGCGTCCTCTTTTCCTCACTGCCTCTCAGCGACAAAAGTTTGAATTACATTTATTTTAAACTTTATAAATAATGCATTTTAAATGTATGCCACGTGTTCTTCCTCCACCTTCCCTCACCTGGTTGTGCGACATTGTGCGTCCGTCAGTAAGTGTGTGAGGGTCAGAGTGACACACACACACACACACACACACACACACACACACACACACACACACACACACACACACACACACACACACACACACACACACACACACACACACACACACACACACACACACACACACACACACACACATCTGGGAAGTTGTTTGTTTAGTAAATAAAGCTCTTTGGGTTTTGAGTTGCTCGAGTAGTTGCTGCTCTGTAATGATTCCCAGTGAGTATCCTGTGTCGGGGGTAGACACACGAAAACTGGCTTTAGTTAACGGGCCCAGGTCATGCTCTTCTGGTTATTACAGCACCCCCCCCCTTCCCGCGTCCATTCGCGATGTCTCGCGGCGAGCAGGAAACCACACCAGTAAGCCAGCTCACACTGTCAGCTCCTCACAGCGGCGAGCCAGTGGGCGAGCTGACCAATCAGAGCACAGTGGGCTCATGGGGGGGGGGGAGTGAACACACATACTGTACAGAGAGGCTGTGAGAAACCAAAGTGAGTTTGGAACATTGAACAATGTGGATCTATTCTAGTAGAGCTCAACAATGGAGCTATGATCAGTAGAAATGGCCGTGACACTTTTGAGAACAAGGTCAGCAGATTATTACATTAGCTTCATTATTTGATCGGGACGAAACAACATAGATAGAGAATGATCCAATGTAATGTGTCACAGCATTAGTAGATTTGCTAATGTCCTATGCCCACCCCTTAAAGAGCCTTTAGTTGTTTCATAATCCTGAATGTTGGTCTCAATAAGAGCAACAGCGGTTCAGTTATTTGCCCTGCTGTGTAACAAGTGAGCAGATACATTTACAGTGAAATAGCATTTACAGTGAAATAGCATTTACAGTGAAATAGCATCATCTAGTTACATTTCACTTTACGGCAAATACAAGAGATAGGTTTCTTATTGACAGGTCACATGAGACGGGGGCTGACTGTGTTGCATTAAACATCTATGACCTTTACTGTGTGTGTGTGTGTGTGTGTGTGTGTGTGTGTGTGTGTGTGTGTGTGTGTGTGTGTGTGTGTGTGTGTGTGTGTGTGTGTGTGTGTGTGTGTGTTAGAAATTTCAGCTGATCTCGCTAATGAGTCGGAGCTCAGAGGAACTCGTGTCTGATTTGAGCTTAGGTGTGTGTTTGAGTGTGTGTGTGTCTGTCTTCTCTGGAACAGGCCATTTGTTGAATTAGCGGGGCAGTGTTGAAGTGTTCAGCGATTAAGGTTAATCCTTGAGTCTGGTGATGTAAGAGCTGTCGTTTTCCCCTCTCTAAAACCTCCTCACTCTGTGTGTGTGTGTGTGTGTGTGTGTGTGTGTGTGTGTGTGTGTGTGTGTGTGTGTGTGTGTGTGTGTGTGTGTGTGTGTGTGTGTGTGTGTGTGTGTGTGTGTGTGTGTGTGTGTGTGTGTGTGTGTGTGTGTGTGTGTGTGTGTGTGTGTGTGTGTGTGTGTGTGTGTGTGTGTGTGTGTGTGTGTGTGTGTGTGTGTGTGTGTGTGTGTGTGTGTGTGTGTGTGTGTGTGTGTGTGTGTGTGTGTGTGTGTGTGTGTGTGTGTGTGTGTGTGTGTGTGTTCTGTCAGTAGCACCCATTCTGCAAACAAGGATGCCCTGTGCACTCTGCTGTGTCCACACACACGCTGCATGTGTTTTGGTGTGTGTCGGGCGGGGGGGGAAATGATGCATCACGTCTGCAGCGGAGATAAAGCAGAGGGGGAAGAAGGGGAGGATGGATGATAGTGGGCGAGCGGCCGAAACAAAACGCTCTAACTGCGAGACTAACTGAACCAGAGAGGAGGCGACGCCAAAGAGAAGCTGCAGAACGTCAACATACACTGAGACCCAAACTCTTTTCGTCTTTCCCCTCATCCTCAACTCTCCAACTAAACGAGTGCTCACATGATGTTACATTTAGCTTCCAACAAGTGCAATAGAAGAAAGCATCAAACTACTAACCAGAGGGACGCAGGCATGTGGATATAAGTGCTGGTGCATTAGTTGAAGTTATAGAATCATGCAGTCTTTAGCAGAGATTGGAGCTTTTATCACATCACAAAAAAACATTTTGAACTGTTCAACTTGTTGCACGCAAACATTTTTAACACCTTATAAATACTTCTTACACAAAGACACGCACGATGCTGGATAAACACTGACATTGATATATTATTAATATTGTTTTGAGATAAAAGATTTCACCCACATTTTCTTTTAACTAAATTCTACTTTTTAAATTGTATTTTTCTAACCGTTATTTTAGGGCATTTCTTGCGTCCTCTTTTCCTCACTGCCTCTCAGCGACAAAAGTTTGAATTACATTTATTTTAAACTTTATAAATAATGCATTTTAAATGTATGCCACGTGTTCTTCCTCCACCTTCCCTCACCTGGTTGTGCGACATTGTGCGTCCGTCAGTAAGTGTGTGAGGGTCAGAGTGACACACACACACAGACAGACAGACAGACAGAGACACACACACACACAGACACACACAGACAGACAGACAGACACACACACACACAGACAGACAGAGACACACACAGACAGACAGACACACACACACAGACACACACACAGACAGACAGACACACACATACAGACACACACACAGACAGACAGAGACACACACACACACACACACACACACACACACACACACAGACAGACACACACAGACAGACAGAGACACACACACACACACACACACACAGACAGACAGACAGACACACACAGACAGACAGAGACACACACACACACACACACACACACACACAGACAGACAGACAGACACAGACAGACAGACAGAGACACACACACACGCACACACACACACACACAGACAGACAGACAGACACAGACAGACAGACAGAGACACACACACACACACACACACACACACACACACACACGCACACACAGAGGAAGTGATGTCATAATGTTGCAGACACAGTCGTTAGCAGAAGAAACACGATACATCTCGTCCCTGTTACATTGAGCTGATGCTTGATCCGAAACGACCTCCAATAAGTGCATGAAACCTTCAGGATGCTACTAATAATCTGACTAATGAAGTTATTTGTAAGTGCTGCTGCATTAGCTGTGTATAGTTTATACATTTTAGAAGCTCTGTAACAGAGATGGAAGCCTTCATCGTATCGCAAAAAAACATTTTAAACTGTTGAACTTGTTGCATACAAACATTTTAACACCTTTTATTTGCTATAAACGATGCTGGAAAATTGACATATCATTTTTTTATATAACATTAAAGCAGGATTTTTTTTAACCCTTAATTATGTTTTACTAAATTTAAACCTATTTATTTTCCAAATTTCGCCCACATTTTCTGTTAACTAAATTCTACCTGTTATTTAGATTTTGTTTTTTACATTTTACACTTAAAGGTGGGGAAGGTGATTCCCTTCAGAAGCACTTATATTCCATGGAATGCTCTTAACGTCCCGATAGCAATGAATATCTGAAGTGCTTTGAAGCCGTGGCACTGTAAAAAGCACGACCAATCATCTGAGCCGGCTAAAGTAACTGGATGGCCTACCTGCCTGTCAGCCTTCCATCTGGGCACAGACTGATCTCGTGCCCTCATTGGTCATGTGCGCGTTCGTGTGTGTTGGAGGAGGGGCTCTGTGAGGAAGTCTGAAGAAAGTGGCAGATTTTTTTCGGTTATGTATTTTCAGATTCTAGCGCACTCGAGCCGGTTTCTCCATTCTTACCTACCTACCTTTAACTTACTTTTATTTTTGGAATAGCAGAAGAAACACTGTACCTCAGGGTGGTCCTTAGCGCCATGTACATTTTCAAATTCATTTATGTTAAGCTCCAACCGCCGGAATTCATTATGATAGTCAAGAAAACTCTCCTGGTGAATTTTATTCAAATTCCAACAACATTTACCCCTCCCTCCTCAACACACACACACACACACACACACACACACACACACACACACACACACACACACACACACACACACACAGAGACAGATACACACACACAATTGTAAGGCCCACCCTACTGTACATCTCCTCCCTGTATCTCCATTATACACATAGCCTGCAGTCACGGAGGCAATTACCATGGCAACAGCACGTGTCATTTCTGAAAGCAACGTGGATGCATTTTACACACCCCTCTCTTCCTCTCTCTCTCCCTCGTCTTCCTCCTCAGATTCTGTCAGATCTGTTTAAACGTTCACATTATTCTTTTTCTGTTCAGAAGACTTTTATCACCGGTATTCAAATTAAGTTTCCCCCACAGTGTTTGTTTATGAATAATAAAGTCATTTGTTTGTTTAACGTTATTCCCGCTCTTCCTCTCCGCAGGTTTCCTCCTCTTTAAGGAATTCTGTTTGAGCGAGATCGAGGAGGGCGTCCCACAGCTCAAGTTCTACGAAGAAGTGAGTGGGTGTGTGTGTGGGATTAGACTGCAGCAGTG